ATTCCTGCACCTGCTGTCAGAGCCCCGCCCCAGGCTCGGGGAAGGCTTCTGCATACCGATATAAGTGTCTGAACCGGCTCATAGATTGTCCATCACCTGGAGAGGCAGGAAGGCTCTGAGGACCCCACCCCCAAGAAGTGGGATACTCTCTGGGGGGTGACACCACGTGGGCACTGAGAAAACCAGTGGGTTTATGAGCTACGTGATGTCGTGTTGGTTTCAAGCTCGCCCCGGGACAGAGATTCCACCCCGTGGTGCCCAGGTGCCCAGGAGCCTCTGCTCAGCCTCCTTCCTCTTCCCTGTCTGCTGCCCATCCCTGCAGCCACCTGGGTCAGGACGTCTGGGAGGGGCCACGTGCGTCTCGGTGCAGGTGTCCACGTCGATGGCCACAGCGGTCCTGGCCCCTTCAAGGGATGCGATGTTCTGAGCATTCTCTGTGGGGGGTGTGTTTGCTATTAACCCAGGGACGGTTGCCCTCTCCCAACCCAGTTAGAAGCCTCCCTCCGGGGCCGCCCTGCCCCCACCCCATGCCGGCCATGCCTCGTAAATCGCTTGAACGAGTTTATGGGAGAACTGGCCATAACTCCATCTCCCTCCGCAGGGCAAGGCTCACGCTGTGATTACTCTGCAGGGCACTTGCTTCCGCCCTGTGCAGGAAGGCTCGCTCTGGTTCTGCCCCAGCAGTCACACCCAGCAGCAGGCCCCCAGCTCCCACACGGCCCCCAGGCCCATGCCCTCGATGGGAGGTGGACAGCAACTGGGCAGCCTTGGGCGGCTGCCAGGCATTTAGACTTGGGAGTGGGTAGCCCTGGGTCTGCTGAGCACCCCTGCTTCCCACCGCCCTGGCTACTGAGCCTGGGCCACCCAAGCTCTGGGCCAGGTCTCCCTGTCTGTCCCGTCATCCCTCAGTCCATCTGTCACCGACGCCCAGAGCCTCGGCCGATTAGTGACCAGCAGACTGGACCTATTAGTACTAGTTGGCATCTGGTGGCCAGATCCTGCTTGCTGAGGGCCTGGGCCAGTGTGAGCCAGCAGCCTGAAGGAACAGGGCGACCCTGTGCTTGGCAAGATGGGCACTGCTCAGGCAAGAGAGAGGACAGTGTACGTGTCAGAGGGAGCTTGTGGGAGCCCAGGGGCCATGGGTGCTTGCAGGTGCCGCCGGGGATGGTTTCTCTTCCAGCTCTTTGCCCCAGGCATTCCCAGAGGAGCCCAGAGCCCTGAGCACTCTTCCTGGGAGCCTAGCCCCTTTGAATCTCTGAGATGGAACTTGTATCTCCTACGCACCCATCCATTTTTCCATCCCCCATCCATTCATCCATCTGCCCACCCACACATCTATCTATCCATCCACCCACCCATCTGTCCGTCCATCCATCCATTCATCCATCCATCCTTCCATCTACCCACCCAAGCCATCCCTCCATCCATCTAACCTCCTATTAAATTATCTCCCCTCCTCCCATCCCACCCGCCCTCCCATGCACCTTTCCTTTCTTAGTAGCTGGACTCAGCATCCGGTCTTGTCTCTGTCCACCTCCTTTCTTGGTGACATTTGGGCTTCAGCAGAGCCTTTTGGGTCCCCACAGTTGCCAGCACAGCACCCGTGAGTCCTGCCTGCTCTGTTGTCCTCTTCCAACCAGCTG